GAGGTATGAATGTTGGTTGGTAGTTAGGTTAAACAACATAAGAGGAACAACGACATTAGAGGAATGCTAACTAAGTTCATCTCATCATCATACCCACAACAATGCATAGAAAGAACGTAGAGAGTTTGAGTGGTCAGGAAGCAATAGACTACTTAGACTACCAATTTATTCCTAGAAATTAGCAACAAATGTATTTCCTTTTTTTTAATAAAAATATTTTTTATGTTTATAAATGATTTGTTAATAATAATATCCATTACTTTCATGGTAATTTTCAAAAAAGTCCCAATATTTTGGTTATTATGTAATTTTTAGAAAAGTCACAAATTTTTGAGCATATTAACGAGAAAGAACAAAATACCGGTAAAATCTGTGAAACCTATCGAAAAGGGTTTATTCGAAGTTTTAACCCGTATTCTATGTTTTTCTGTAAATAAAATTTAGTTTGGGATTTTTTTCATAAATTAGACTAAAATTTTAGGACTTTTCGGGAGATTTTCCACATTAAAATTACATAGTTAGTAACTTTTAATCTGTTATGAAATTTAATAACTTACAATATTTTAGCTGATAAACTATGATATCTTACATTATTATGATAAAAAATGATATGAATAATATGATTGTGAGAATTTACTCATTTATTTTATCAAATGCTTTTTTTTAGTCTATTAATGTATATAGATCGCGTATCTCTAGGCAAATGTTAGGTGTTTTTTATAAATAACTCATTTTCTTGTATTCTTGTATTTATGTATCATTTAAGGTGAAGGTATTATTTTTTGGGAAAAATATAGTACAATATGATATAAGAACAAATTTTCTAAAACTCTATTTTCCATAGAAACATGTGCAGCTCTTCTTCCTATTCGACTTCTTCTCGGTGGTTCTTATGGTTATCGATGGCTTTTCCTTGTCTTCTTCCTCTACTTCTCTACTAAATTGTAATGTATCACTAACATAAAGGCTTTCATACAGTTGCACTTGGACCTTGGTCATGTCAACTACGATGTATGCTATGAACTATTCCAATGCTCCAAAACAAAATTACTCAATTGTCAACATTTGGATTTACGATACTATCTCTTTATTTGAGGCGGATCCAAAGGGATCCGGGGGTAGCCCGGGATACCCCTCAATTTTTTTTCGGTAATGTAATTTTTGTTTACGAATCCTTCAATTTTTTTTTGATATTATATATATATATATATATATATATATATATATATATATATATATATATATATATATATATATATATATATATGCATCCCTTCAGTTATAACCACAAACAAATAGTAGAGCTATTGGTTAAGGTGCTGACTTATTGAAGAAAGCTCTTATAACATCCTAAGTCCAGATATACCTTGTAAACCTTGATCTATTGAGCATTTGTCTATTTTGGCCCTTTATAGAGAAAAGGTGGTAAATGAGTACGCGGGGTGTACTAGAGTGTACGCTTAGCGTACTCATGTGTGTGCATTTGACGCGGAGGCCACCTAGTACGTTGGGCGTACCAGAGGGTACATTGGGCGTACTAGGCCTAGAGTAGAAACCCTAATTTGGGGTGTTACCCTATATAAAGGATATGATGGCCTCATTCCTGGCCACCATTTCTAGATACCAAACCCTCCTAATCCTAAATCTTCGTTCTTATAGCTTGTGAGCGGATTGGAGAGCTTGTGAGGAGAATCTTGTGTTCTTGAAGTGGAGAAGAAGCTTTGGAGAAGAAGGAGGAGAGTCCAGGCTTTTGGATATGAGCTTAGATGTGTGGAAAGCTTCACTTAGAGGTATAAAGCTTCATGCTTTCTCATTTTTTTGGTTTGTGCAATAATATGGAGTATTTTACGGTTTTGTCCCAAAAGATGGAGACTTTATGAGATAATAAGCTCCAAAGACCTTGGTATGTCCCCTTTTAGTATATTTCGTGGAGTAGAGTCATAAAAATCCAATCTTGGACATTAGAAGTAAGTCATGCATGAGATATGAGCTTCATGAGGAAAGAGGGTGGATGTTTTGAGTGTTTGTGACCTAATCAGCCATGAAAAGGCCTAAAGTCACTGACTTTATGGATTAAGAGATGTTAGAGAGTCCAGATCTGTGATATGAGTCACCGTCTTAACTGATTAAGACCAAAAATGTGAGGAGAGTGAAACTCGGACGTACGTTGGGCGTAATCACAGTACGTGCATCATAGGGGTCGAGCATCCCCGATGTCTGCATGGCAGCCGAGTACGCCCAGTGTAGAAGGTTGGTACGCATATCGTCCTCCTTTCCGTTGACTTTCGATTGACTTTTAGGGTTGGTTAATTTGTGGTCTATAAGGCCATAGAGGGGTAAAATGGTCTTTTTCCCTTCTGTGAGTTTGTAGAAGGGTTGGTTTAGCTTCATTGAGAGCCTTATTAATTAGGGATTATTATCGTTGTGTTAGGCGGAGGCTAGACCGGTGATTCGAGTTCAAGATTATCTGAGTTCTACGAGGTGAGTCTTCTCATTATACTTACCTTGACTGGTATTCTATGTGTGACCGAAGGGTCGTATGTACATATATTATGTATTGATATATCCTACTGGTTGTCTTTTGTGATTTATATGTTGTGTATTATATTGAGTTTCCGAGTTGAGGGACCGAAGGGCCTAATTGAGTTGTAGGACCAGAGGGTCCCACTGAGACACATTGATCGGAGGGCCTTATCTGAGTATAGCCATAAGAGGCTAATAAGTTATGTGTGGTATTTTGGGGAGATCACTAAGCTTTGTGCTTACCATGTTATGTGTTATGTGTTTCAGGTACTTCTCAGGATCACGGGAAGGCGTCGGCTTGATTTTACACACGTCCGAGATTTGAGTTATGTATGAGAGGATTCTGGATTTGTTATATATTTAGTTTTTGGGATATGTGTTGGATGATTTGATACTATAACACTTTTTTAAATGTCTGGAATTGAGAAAATGTGTTTTAAAATGTAACGTCTGTAGATCAGGGCTAGTCAATTATGAGACAATAAGTGTCGAAAATGAATTTTTGATAGAATATTATTTAGAATGAATAGTCTTAATAAAAGTTGTAGTATATGTTACAAGGATTCCGTATATATAAAGAATGTCGAAATCCAAGTTATAACGAAAAAGTTATGACCTGTCGAAGTTTCGCAACAGAACCGGTACTACACAGCGCGACGTAAATAGTGAATTTACGATAGAGCGATTTTTAGCCTTAGCGATCTAAACGAAAGTCGTGGAATACGTTAAACCGAGAGTGCGCATAAAAAGAACGTCTAAATCTGACTTCGTATGAGGATGTTATGATTTTTCCAAGTTTCAACTTAGTAGTATGCGCCTAATAAATAATATTGGCAACTGTGTCAATTAGAGAATAAATGATGTTGTTGGCAGTTGTGTCTAATAAATAATATTGGCAACTTACCATTTAGAGAATAAATGATGTTATTGGCAGCTGCGCCTAATAAATAACATAAGCAGTTGCGCCATAGGAACAGATGGACTTTGTGCATATTCCTTAGGATAACTCTTAGGAATGAATGAGTAAAGGATAGATGATTCTTAAGAACTTTAAGAATAAAGATGATAATGGGGATGAGAAATTTGGTTGATTGTTTAATGTTTAAACACAATAAATTTATTATTTGTGGGTTGAAAACCCTATATGCTCACCAGGCTCCCAAGTCTGACCCACTCAGTTTTCTTTGTATTAGAGGTGGTGGCATCAGAGCATAAGTTGGATGACTTATCAAGATATTTTGGATTACAGATCAGTTGTAACATCCCGAAATCAGGTATATCTCCTTCGCCCTTCTTGTTTAAACATAAAGCATATTATTCTATTTCTTGATGAACTATAAACCATGGCTTATAACTTCATGCCTCATCCACGATAACTCTTATTTCATACTTCGATATTAATTAAGAGGGTGCCACTCTACTCCACAATATACATCTACCTATGTGAACCAATCATATTTAAGATCCACTTATGTTAACCGATCATATTTAAGATATAACTACTTTGTGCATGATCATATTTTTTTGTCAAAATTAAGGTATTTATGTTTCATCATCTTTTCAGTACACATAAATTTTCATCAAGGAACTTGCATGTAACGCCCACGTTTTCATACCAAGTACACCCCATAAAATTTCATTTCTCATTTAAAATTTACAATTTAATTTGGTGTATATTGGCGAATTGGCATATAAGAAGTTATCATAAGAGTCGTATTGGCCACAAATACATGATGAAGTCGGGCGTCATAAATAATCTACCTACAAAACAGATCATCACAAAAACATAAGCCTCGTGGCTTTGGTGAATAACAGTTACTAAGACATAATAAGATAAATCATATAATCACATAATAAATCATTTTCTCACATATGTAGCAATTACTTCTACCAATTAATGATATTCTCATAACCAACCTCTCCATAATAATCTATCACTTATTCATAATCTATATCTAAACCAATGATATATTTCTTAACCAATGATATATTTCTTATTCAACGATCTATCTCTCAATCATGATCACTCTCTTGATTAATGATCTCTCTCTCTCTCTCTCTCTCTCTCTCTCTCTCTCTCTCTCTCTCTCTCTCTCTCTCTCTCTCTCTCTCTCTCTCTCTCTCTCAATTAAATTAATTCTCTCATTTATAGTCAATCAATCTATCAAAAATATAAAATTATCATTTTTATCATTTAATGCAGTCATTCCTTCATGCTTTGTGTGATTTAGTCTTCTAACCAAAAGAATTTTCTCATTTTCTTTTTCAAAAATATCATGGGTAGCTTAAATAATTATTCAATTAGTTTTTAATCGAGACTCCAAAAATTGTTTGGTTACAACTTGCAAACAACCTCATAGATACTTTAAACACTCGTCTTACGAATCATTGAAACACATAGAGCATTGTAGTTTTGCCATCTTTTATAGTAAATGGTGCATGCATATGCAATTGTCTATTAACAACTGACGGTTACACACGTATCTAACAAACTTTTAAAATATAGACCGCAAAATAACGTTTGATTCATATGATTGCATTATGAAATTAATTCACACAACTTAGGGTTTGATTTTCCCCTGTTCTTCAATCTCAATCCTGTCGTACTTAATCTCCAATCCAAAATCAAACATAATAATCTCGATGTAATCTGCAAACATGATGAAAACCCTAGGTTTTTGGATGACAAGATGGGACCTTTTCTGGTGTAATCGAAAATCCAAAAGGTGACAGAACGGGAAAGGGGGTTTACCGATGGAAGAAGAAAAGGAGTTATCGAAGTGTAATAATTGCAGAATCGTTAGGGATGTTGTTGAAGAGTTGATTGGGATTGTCGAAGCTGCTAAATCAATGGGAGAATTTCGAGGAACGCAGAAGAAAGAGAGCCAAATGCTCCAAAGGCGATTGAGGCAGTGTCTGCCATTGTTGGAAGAGCTTCGTGATCTTGATGCACAGATTCCCGAGGATTGTATATCATGTTTGCATAGATTGAAAAGAGCGTTTGTTCTGGCAAAGAAATTGTTGAAGACTTGTCATGCTGGAAGCAAAATTTATCTGGTTAGCTTTCTTTTCCTCTTTTCTTATATGTCATGTACTTTTTAGGTTTTGAAATTCAAATTCAAATTCAACAGTTTGATTTTGTTTTAGGTATTGGAAACAGATGCAATGCTAAGCAGATTCAATAGTGTTTATGATAAATTGAATCATGCAATGGACGGATTTCCATACAAAGAAATTGGAATTTCAGAAGAAGTTAAAGAACAAGTAATTTGTTCTTCTGTTAAATCTTTGATTATCTGCTGTCTTGGTCTTACTTTTGATTTCTTTTGATTCAAATATAGTTTTAATATGTGAATATATATCATAGGGGTTTTGTGATTGCATTTAAGTTTACCTGTATTGATTTCTTTAGTTCTTTAGCTCAAATTGTCTTATATCATAAAACATTTTTTCTAATCTGAAACCATTCTTGTTGATCTTGAAGTTCAAGATTTAATATTTCTCACATAATTAGACTAACTTCTTGACTATTATGACTTGTAATTAACTGCAATATCCATAAGAATAATTTTCATAAAGTAGTAATGTTAATTTATAGAAAACGCTTTGTGTAATATTCTGAACTGAAAATCTATATCATTGATGTAAAATTACAGTATTACTAATATTCAAAAACAAAAGTTGCCATTTTTCATTGGAAAAATATTTAAATACTAAATTAATCTCTCTCTTTCCATGTGACATGTAACATGTTAAGAAGAGGTATATAAATCTGGCTAAATGAATAGGGTGAAATGACTTGAAAATTGTCTAAATTGTATTCAAAATGCTTACAACTTTCTAAACCATTTTATTCTTTGATTGCCAATTTAACAGTAGAGATTTTGTAGTTAAATGTAATGCACTGATTATTTATAACATCATACTTTCATTTATTCCCGTTATAACATAGTACTTTGAAAAATCTACCAGATTATAGGAAAACAAATTTCATTGCTATAATTGGGTAGATTTTTCTAGTACAATATGGAAAAATTCCAAATTTTTGGGAAAAGTTCGAGTAAAGTCCAAAAAGTTTTTTTTAAACAGAAAAGTCACGATTATTTAACATTTTGCCCAAATTAACAAAAAAATCTTTTTTACATCACGATTGAATTGGCATGCATTAGGCTTGTTTGTGATCTATTGTTTGTGCAAAAGACCTACATATTCTCCTCATCACACAACCATATACAAATGAGATCCACAAGATAAAAAAAAAGTAAATGAACATTTATTAAATAAATATAACCTTATATTATTATTACAGGTGGAGTTAATGTGTATGCAACTTAAAAGAGCCAAACCCCGAATGGACAATCAAGACATGGAACTCACCACAGACATGATGACCGTATTGTCAACCGACACTGACCGGATATCTGAATGTGAAGCTATTAAAAGATTGGCAAACAAGTTATCCTTAAACACTCTTGAGGAATTAAGGGTTGAAACTATTGTTATAAGGAAACTTGTGAAAGAAAGAAGAGGACAAAATGCTGAAGGAACCGAAAAGATTATAAACCTTCTTGATAAATTTAAAAGATTTGCGGGAATTGAACAAGCTAATGTTCTTGATGATCCTGCTCCATGTAATAGAACGCTACAAAAATGTGCGTCTATCACGATTCCATTTGAGTTTTTGTGTCCAATCACTTTGGAAATGATGAGGGATCCTGTCATTGTTGCAACGGGTCAGGTGAGTTTACATGATCCATGCATTATGATGTTTACTTTGTCATAATGTTTTGTCAAGGAAAAATATGTGTATTTTCATAATTTTATAGTTTTTGTGATTAAACTTTGTTCATTTTTTTTACCTATAAAAACACTTTTCTTGGTTACCGGTTTTGATACCAAGCAAAATCTAAAAAAGTACAATGTACTTTCACAAATTATTATTGATTCGGTTACCGGTCAATTTTTTGTGGCTAAATTGATAAAAATATAAAAATACGTTGTATTTTGTATATATGTTTACTTGTTAGGGTTAATGACTTAGTATGAAACAAGTTTATTTATCAATTTATGTAATCATGTTTTAATTTGTTACAAACGAGTTACAAAAAATCCGGTTTATCATATAAATTAGTAGAAAAAATTAAAATATGGTTGCATAAATATATAAAAAAAGTTGCTCCAAGAGGCTCTCACCTTTCATAAACGTTACAAGTAGGTCACACAACTAGAAAAAAAAGTCAAAAGAAAACAAAGGGCATCCAACTTTATAATAAAATAATCGTTATTTGCCATTTCAAAATAATTAAACCAAATCTGGTATAAAGTTCAGGGGTACTTTTTGCCAATCTTACAAAGTTAAATCAATACTTTAATTTTTTATTTATACTTGGTATGAATGATGCAAGTTAACGAAGTTAATGCATTGATGACTTGTACTATATAAGTTTTTAAAACAATCCTTCGCCGCCACCGTATCAAACCACCACCATCAACCACCCCATCACCACCGTTCCCCAACCCCCGCATGTGTTTTCTTTTCTTACTTTTTTGACCTAAAGTTTTTAATCCAAGTCTTGAATTTTTTGTCGTTTTTAATCCAAGTCTTGAATTTTTTGTCATTTTTTGATGTATTTTCCGGTGATTGATGATTGTATTATGATCTTTCATTGCAGACATACGAGAGAGCAAGCATACAACAATGGCTGGATTCCGACCACCAAACCTGCCCAAAAACCGGCCTACATTTAACCCACACCGCCTTAGCACCAAACGTCGCCCTCCACAACCTAATCCTCCAATGGTGCGAAACCAACAACTACCAACTCCCCAAAAAAGACCCACCGCCGCCGCCCAAAATCACCCGCGCCGACAAAGTCATAACCCTAATCCAAAACCTTTCCTCCAGCCAATTACAAATCCAACGAAAAGCCGTGACCAAAATCCGTATGATTTCTCGAGAATCCCCGGAAAGCCGAGTTTTAATCGCCGACAACGGCGGAATTCCGCCGCTCGTCCAGCTCCTTTCCTACCCCGATTCCAAAATCCAAGAACACGCCGTCACCGCCTTACTAAACCTCTCAATCGACGACAAAATCAAGAAACAGGTATCGAAAGAGAATCCGATTCCGGCGATAATCGAAATCCTCCAAAACGGAACCATCGGAGCTGAAGAAAACTCCGCCGCAGCATTGTTTAGCTTATCGATGATCGACGAAAACAAAACGTTGATTGGAGCTTCAAACGGAATTCCGCCATTGATCAATTTGTTAACCGAAGGAACAATCCGCGGCAAAAAAGACGCCGCTACCGCTTTGTTTAACTTAACGCTTTCGCATCCAAACAAAGTCAGAGCAATCGAAGGTGGCGCCATTAAACCTTTACTGAAAATGCTTGAAAACGAGAGGTTAGACATGGTTGATGAAGCTCTTTCGGTGCTTTTACTACTTGCAGCGCATCCTGATGGGAGGAAGGAATTGGGGCAACTTTCGTTTATTGAAACTCTTGTGAAGTTTATGCGACAAGGGACCCCGAAGAACAAAGAATGTGCAACTGCAGTCCTTCTAAAACTTTGTTTGAACAATTCTAACCTTTTGTTGGCTGCACTTCAGTATGGGGTTTATGAGCACGTGGTGGATATTTCGCAGAATGGGACAAAACGTGGGCAGAAAAAGGCGGCTGCGATTTTTCAGCTTATGAATAAAGGTGACAGATTTCTTTCTAGAACGTAGTGAGGTGAAATATCAAATCCTTGTTTATAGTTATGTTTTAGGTGTGAAATTATGCCTTACAATTCATTTATCGTTTAGATTAGTTATGCGTTAGTTATGACTTATGAGGATATTGTAGATCAGAGTGGATCCACATTGTAGTGTTTTGTTGTGTAAAAATGAATAATAGTCTATAAAATTCAATTATAGTGTGTGAATAAGACAGAAAAATACAAATGGTTGCAGACGAAACAGGTCAAAATGCAAAAAGATGCACAAAGACCGATTTCAGATGAGTTTCATTTCGTTTTGGTTTTTTATCGTGATGGTTTTTTTTTGATAAAAAATGAACCATTTTATATGAATTACAATTACAAAGTATAGTAGCTTTACAAGATGGGATAGTCATATTTACAAAAGATCGTCGATGCCCTTTGCATTTCCATAATAAAAAAACATCCATAGAAAATTTGTATTGTCCCTCTTATACTATTCAATCCAATACAATCATGTATTCTCCGGTGTAACAAATTAAGATTACGGTTAAACCCCGTTGTCGACATGGAGGGTCCTCAATGGCATTGTAACTCCAGGAACACCACCCTATGGTGGTGTTATGGTGCCTGACGTTGCCATGGTAATGAGTTGCAACACGTATTTGGGCGATGAATTCGAACAATTTTCAAACGACTTTGAACATTAACAGTCATATTAGATAAAAAAATAATAATAATAACTAATTTTTATATACTTATAAATACATACACTCTATACCAAGTTCATTCACCTAATTCGTTCTTTCTCTACATTTTACAAAATTTCAATACTTCCCTATTAAAAAAAATGGATATGTTGGTCCCGTCTAAGAATGATGACGATGATGTCTTCGTCAATATGATGTACGAATATTGTACGAACGTGTTATTACAACCAGATTCAGCTCCGCTACTAACACGACGTGCGATGTTAAATGGAGACCGTGAAGAAGGCGTTGATGTGTAGTTCACGGTTATTTTGCTGATAATTATGTTTATCAGGCAAGCGATTTCAAAAGAAAGTTTCGTTTGCGAAAAAGTGTGTTTGTACTAATAGTCAACGCCTAGGAAAGTAGGTATCGTTTCTTTTAATTTTTGTAATTTATGAATCTAGCTTTTAGATAAAATAAATACATTTTTTTACCTATCAAGTTTATGTATGAATTTTTTCAATTCAGATATTATGCTAATAGTTCGGTAACCACTCCACATTATTTATTTTTTTTAGTTTCTTATTTTTTTTTTGTTGATATTATATTAAATAAAAAAACATAATTATTAAACATAAAAAATATTTTATTAATAAAAAGTACATTAAATTGGAAAAAAAAAACACAAATTGTAAAATTAAATAACATTTATAAATAATGTGGTTACCACTCCATATTATTTATACTTTTTTTAATTAAATTAAATAAACAAAACATAATTTTTAAAATTAAATAAACATTTTATTATTTTTTAAAATTATATAAACACACACATGTATATACTCCATATTACCAAATCAATTAAACCCTTAAAAAGTTACTTCATATTAACAAAACCATTTTAACTCACAAAAATATTAGCCCACTAAAAATATGTCTAGCCCAATTGAATTTAATTAAGCCGAATCTTTGTAATTTAAACCTTATTTCCTAATCGTCTCTTTTCTTCTTTGGTCGTCGCATCTTTTCTTCTTTCTCGTTTTTGCAGCACCCTTTATTTATGTAATTCTTTTTCCGGCGAGCCTCATTCAAGAATTTCCGACGCCTTCCTTTGTGAACGGCCATTTGACCGCTTGGAATAAACGAATCCCATTGGTCGTTTGCAAAGCTATTCCCTCACTGGTTGTCTTCGCCCGTGGAGCCGGTCACACCACAACACACCCACGCTCCTTGGGGGCAGTGTTCACGCGTGGACAAAGGTGTCACGTCAGCCTTCATGCATGGTTTCCTCTCCCATACCGGGATGGCCTAACATCCCTTAACATATTGCCCACACCTAATAGCATAAGAGAAACATAACAAGAAGAAATGGTTCATGCTTGCATAATGTAGCGAACTTAACTAGAAACCAGAAAGTGGATGTCAACAAAATCTGGTATTGACACAAATTTTGGAGTAATAGATGACCAGTTTTACAAAAAGACAAGATTATTACTAAATGTCATCAACTAACATACCATAGAATATAAGAAACCAAAAATATACAACAAACAAAACAAGCTTAAAGAGCATAACATTCCCAAAAACAAAGGTCACAAAAAAAAAACCTATCATGAATCACATGGGGAAGAAAGCCACAAACCGAAAAGCAACACATTATACAAAGAACAATTCAATTGATGGATGAATTACAATGTTTACATACATGACAGAATTGAGAAGCGGTTTATTGAACCCCTATTAACCATTTCACAAGGTTTTAAGATGTTGATATTATCACAAGAACATGTAAAGTACAAGTAATATACAACTAAACCTCATTACAAAAGACTTTATTTGACATGTAATCGGTGGCTTTCCACAAGCAACCTCTCACTCTTCCATGTAAAAGATCTGCAAGAGGGAAATATATAAAAACAAGCAGTTAGTTTTTTTAGTCTTTTTGTGAGAAGAATATTATTGAAAAACAAGCAATAATGAGAAATGTTGCAATTTTTTTTTTCATGCAACAGAAGGAGTATATATATTGATTGAAGATCTTCATTGTCTCTATAAAATTGAATTACCTCAAAGATGTTGAGCCATTGGGAAGCATCCAACTTGAAAGTCAAAAAAAAAAAAAAAAAATTAAAGTTTGACAAAAAGCTTTAGTCAAACATGTCCTCATCACTTCCAGGAAAAATTAATTGAAGATCTTCATTGTCTCTGTAAACTTGAACCAATGCAGCAGCTTTATATGCAAACACCCCTACCATTGCTGGTGTAAGCTATACATAAAAAAAAAAAAAAACATCCATAACAACAACTACATCAGAAGGGCAATTTGGGCATTAAACTACATAAGGTGTTGACTCTCGAAAATCTAGTAAGCATTAGGTTTTCCTTATGTTATATTGAGGGATTACAATCAATTTTAGAAAGCACTATGGGTGCAAAATGACAGAAATGTCCTTGAGTTTTCCATACATTTACAAAAATAAGTGTGTACCCTAAAAATGATTTGTAGTGTAAAAATATTAAAATAAAAAATTGCATACCTGAAAAAAATCATTTGCAAAATGTTGAGAGATGCCCCACAATCCATAAATAGCAGCTGGGATTACAAGACGTGGTGATGACAAAACCATGCTGCAACCCTTCACCACTTTCTCAAAAGTATCCGCCACGTCATCACTTCTTATTCCAATTCTAAATTTCATATCCAAAAAGGAGGATTTTGTAAGAGTAAATAGATGAAGACTTTAGCTACAAAAAGTTGAACAGTTGTACCTTTTGATCTTTCTTTCTCTGAAAATTTTAGGAATTGATTCCCTTGAAAGGTTGTCAACATATCGATATAAAAGTTGAAGATACAAGCAACTGCATATAATAATCATCTAAATAAGAATTACTTTTAGGGTTAAAAATACAGAAAAACACAACGTAATTTTATCATTTTATTCATTTAGCCGCTGAACTATTATATTTTTTTTTAATAATTATTATAAGAATAGTTCAGTGGCTTAATCGGAAATACGGTGAAAGCTTTTTTATACTTTTTGTCATGGTATAAATATAGGATAATCGGTACAATTGTTTTTTTAAAGGTTAAAAAAAAAGGATTAATCTCAAAAAAGAGCTTATATTTTGTGTTTTTTCCGGATGAAGCCTCAAATGTATTTTTAGCCTGAAAAAGAACCTTGTATTTTTTCATTTTTTCCGGTCTAGCCCTTTCAGTCATTTTTTGTCAAAAACAATTGTAAAATGTGAGGGTTTTTTCGAGAAAAACTACACAAATTTGAGGGTTTCAAAGGAAACATTTAGAAGGTTGAAGGGTTTTTTCGGAAAAA